GCTATCCTTTATTTGATATTATTATAAAACAACTTTACATTGCTTCCTCAGACTCGATTGTTGCCCTTTTAATAGAGATTTTATCATTGTATCTGTTTTTTATACTATTACTACATTTGTCTCTGTTTTTTCCACAACAACTGTTTCTTCTATTATCTCGCATCTAAACATTTATTAAAATTATTTTGACATATAAAGCATAAAATATTTTATATTTAATTTATTATAAATCCCATTACAGTATTTAATTATTTGATTAATTGTAATAATTATTCATTTAGGTAAAGATTATTATAACGGTCGAAAAAACTATAGTTTTTCAGCTGCTATATACGTAATTTATTGCAAAAATTATTTAATTTATTATAAGAAATACAATATTGATTAAAAATCAAAATAAACATTTATTATTTAATTGATTGTTATTATTTTTCAATTTATTAAAACTTATTATATTGATTGTAAAAGAATATTTTAAAATCTGTATTAATTTAATTGGTTGTAAATTATATTCAAATAGCTACAGATCATATTATACTGATCAAAAATACTATAAATAATAAAACTGTTTAGTTAAACATATTAAAAAATTTTTAAAATATAATAAACTTTTACTAATAAAATTAGAAATAAAAAAGGTGTTATGGGGTGATTAAAGTAAAGAACAGTGTTATAATAACATCAACTGAAGATGTGAATAGTTTTAATTTATTAATTGAAACAAATGATAAATATTCAATTCTCATATATGTTTTTTTTTGAAAATAAGAACAACATAAATTTGAAAATTTATTTTGAAAAGTATTCCAAATTATTGTCTTTTATAATTTTACATCATACAAAAAATCTTATATAATGATATGTTTTTATAATATAATACATTGTTAAAAATTTATAATTTTTTTTAATTTTATCTTTTTAAAATAATTTATAACAATCATATGATTATATTTTTTATAATAAAATATATTACCAGGGAGTGAAAACTAATATAGTCATATTTAAAGAAGCAGGAGTTGAGATTGTGAAATCATAAAGAAATTAAATATAAATAAAAAATATCTTTAGAAAGATACGAAAGTGTTGTTTGAAGATTTATTAAGAATTAGAAATAGTTATTGTTAATAATAAAAACAAAAGAGACCTAAAATAAGTTTATAAAACCATTCAAAAATGTTTTATATTTTTAAATAGAACAACAACACAGAAAAGATAAAAAATACTTGAAATTTTAATGATATGGTTTTTTTATACTATTAAAACATATATTTAAGATTTATGTTTATAAAAAATACATCTATGAAATACTATAAAATATTCAAAGAAAATTTTACTAAGATAAAAGTAAAATAAACTTGTTAAGTTTAGACATTATAGTAAATATTAAAATTTAAGAAGAAATAAATGTGATGAAAATTTTAAATAGTATTTTGAATATATAAGAGTTGATTTAATATTGAAAAGACGTTTTTAATAAAAAAGAGTTGAAAAATAAAAGTAATAAAAGGTAGTATGATGGTTTTATTATATATTTAAATTAAAAATTAGTTTATGTTTTATAAAAAATTAAACATGACCGATGATTTTAATTTTAAAAAAAAACAATTTTTACATAAAGTTATTTTAACAAACATTTTTTAACAAAATGATATATAAGTTTAAGAATAGTTAACATAAAATTTAAATATAAATTTAATAAAAATCATGATTTTTATTGAAAATAAAGAATTAAAATAGAAAAAAGAAAATAAAAGATAGATGTTGTTGAAGGTAAAAAATATCATACAACAGTTTAAAAGAATTATTTTTTAATTATAAAAAACTGAGAAACTTTTTAAATTTGAAGAAAAAATAGATTATATTAAAATAAATTGCTTATTTTTTATTCACCTTAAAAATTTAAACAAGTAATTTAATTAGAAGTATGTTTTTATATAAAATCTATATTGTTAAGCTTATATTGAAAATAAAAAAAATTTGGAAAGTATGTTTAAATTATATTATAACTGTAAATGTCTAAAATTAAATTCAATTGATAATGCTGAAAGTTTTTTGTATTTATTTAAATGATTTTAAAGATAGAATTAAAATATATTTATATGTCCACAAGTTCATAGAAATAGTAAAAATACTGGAAGACTTTTAAATGAATTATGAAAAATGATTTTAAAATATAATATAATTTTTTATTGACTGATTAAACAAAGATTGAATAATTATTTTTAATGATGAATAGATAAAGATATTAATCAAAAAATATACGATAATTTGAATATAGATACCCAATAAATTAATTGAAAACATAGTATTTTTTTAAAATAAATTAATATTTATACTATATAAATGTTTATTAGAATTATAATAATGTTTACTTCCATTTCTTATTTATTCAAAATTAACTTGATATTATTTTCATCAATATGTTGTTTTCAGATATAAAGGCAAATCTAAACAGAATATTATTTTTTAATCATATTATTATTCTACAAGCTTGTAAATATATTAATTAAAATCAATATATCTTAGAGGTTTATTTATTATATTAATTATTAAAATCTTTAATATTTAAAAAACAAGATTATCATCAAAAATTATAATTTTTTATTAAATTTAACTAAAATAATATAAACTTACATTTTTTTCTCACAATTATATTATAATAACACACAATTTAAAATCATAATTTTTTAAAAAATTATGATTTTATATTTAAAAACACTTTACTATATATTCATTAAATTATTTTTTAAATAAAGATTTTTAATTATAATCATTTTTTATTAAAACAAATTATTTTTTAAAGTTTTTTATAATAGAACATTATTTTTATAAATAAGTTTATTGAAAAACTATCTTGATATGCAAAACAATTTTAATTTTTTAGAATAAATTTCTTCTTATTTTTTAAATATATATCTTATTTTATTTATAATATTGTCAAAGATTCAAAAAATTTCTTTTATACTTAAAATTTACATTTCATTGATAGATGTTGTAATTTAATTATTAATTAATGTAAATTTATTATAAAGAAAATAAAAAAATATATGAATAATGCTAAATGAAACATATGATTTATTTTTTTTCTTTGATAAACAACTCCAATTATATTTTTATATTTTAATTTTATTTTAATATTATTTGGTAATAAAAACGAAATCAATAATAAACTTTTTGTTAATATTAATTATTTGACTAACTATTCAATATTTGTTAAAACCTTTAATTAATTCTTCTTAAAAACATCTTTACTGTAAATAAAACTATATTTATTCATTAATTATATAAACCACAAAGTAATAAAAGATTTTGATTTTGTTATAAATTATTGTCACAACGTATAGTATTGCTCAAAAAAACGTGTTCACTAAAATTTTTTAAAAATACATTGTTATACAGTATTATATTAATTTTTTTCAATAACATAATATATTTAAATAATAAATATAGCTAATTTTAAAAAACAACAATAAATTTTATATAAGGAGAAAATTTTTATAATTTAAAAATTGTCCAAAAAAAAACGAGACCAGAAATAAATTTAATATTTAGTGTTTTAGCCTTTTGCTTTATACACTTCTAGATACCTTTTTTGAAAACTATCAACATACTTTTGAATAAAATTAAATAATATATATTATTTAATTTCTTCTTTTAATTTATCTTTTTTAAATTTACCAAATTGAGTTAATTTACACTTTACAAGAACCCAGACTACCTCAATAGAGTTTAAATTTTGAGTCTGTGGATGCCAATCTAAAACTTGAATGTATTTTTCACCTAACCAGTTGGAAACAAGTCTTGAGGTATGCTTAGGATCATTATCTTGCATTAAGATAAATTTCTCAAGACCCATTTCACGAGTAGATTGTTTTTAATTATTAGCTAAAAGTTGTTTATACACTACAGCTGTCATTGTTTTTTCAATAAAAACAATTCTTCCAATCCCGGCATATGAGATACATCCCCAAACCATTATTGATCCACTTTATGTTTAATTGAAAGAATTGTATTTTTTGGTTTGTACCTCTGTCCAGGAAAAAAATGCATATACTTAATAGTATCGCTATTAAAAAGATTAAACTTACACTCATCAGTGAAAATTTTTGTTTTATAGGTCTCATGTGAAATCCTTAAAAATTTTTCAGATTAGTAAGTCTTTTTTCTATATTAATAGGTCTTAAGAGTAGTTTTTTCGTTGGTTTGGCAGTAACTAAACCAAAATCAGATAGAATTCTTGACACAGTTTGTCTTGAAATTTGTACGTTAAACTTTTCGACAAATTTCTGTATATTCTTTAGGCAGGATTCTTTATAATTTTTATCATAAATCAAGAATAACTGACGTTTTAATTCATCAGACAATATTTCAGGTCTTCCTGAACCAATTTTTCTTCCCAGTGGTGTTCTATTCTTTAAATTCTTATTAATATTACATACTAAGGTTTTAACCTGTCTTTTAACGGCTACCTCTCTTTGACTTAAACCCGATATTAAATCATCTTCAATAAAGACTTTAACTTCATATGTAATGTAATTAGTCATGGGTCAATAATTAAAAACTGTTTAAAAATTTATTTTGAAGAGAAATTTATTTCTGATTACGTTTTTTTGGACAATTTTTTTAAAATTGTAAAAATTTTCTCTTTGTATAAAATTTTTATGATATTTTTGAAATTAGCTATATTTATTATTTAAATATATAATGTTATTGAAATAAATTTTAATATAATACTGTATAGCAATATATTTTTTAAAAATTTTGTGGTCACGTTTTTTTGAGCAATACTGTATATTTATTCAAAAACTTTTAGAAAACATTTAATTTTATTTAATACATGATTTTACGTGAATTTTTTTGGCTTAAGAAAAAGATGTTTTTCATAATTTTATAGAATAGAAATATTATCAACATATTTATTATTAATAAATCACCATAATTTTTACAATAGTGAATTTTTATTCAAATTTTACTACAAAAAAATCTCATTTGGGTCATTTT